CGCTTCAGTTCTTCGCCGCGGTATCACGAACTGATAAACGGCCACAGCTTTCCCGCTTATCAGTAGAGTTACCGGGTGACCGCCATGACTATCCGGTTCACCGGCTTAGCGCACCGGGCGACCGCTTTGCTTTCCTGGAGTTCCGGTAATGCCCGGTATGACCGGAGCCACAGTCCAATACACCAGTTAGGGCAACCGCTATGAAGCTACCGGGCTCCAGACTAAGTAAACCGGTCCCGGTAAAACACTCCGGGCCGTCGCTATGGCGTCACCGGGACTCTGGACAACGTACACCGGTCCCGGTAAAGCTACTCCGGGCCGCCGCTATGACCGGAGCCACAGTCCGGTACACCAGTTAAGGCAACCGCTATGAGGCTACCGGGGCTCCGGGCTAAGTAAACCGGTCCCGGTAAAGCGCTCCGGGCCGCCGCTATGGCGTCACCGGGACTCCGGAGAACGGACACCGGTCCCGGTAAAGCTACTCCGGGCCGCCGCTATAATGCTATCGGGCCTCCGGTCTAAATATACCGGACCGGTATGATCCGGTATAACTTCATATGGGTTTTTTCAGTAGGGGGGGACTTTAGGCAAAAAGCTGGAAATTCTTTGCGGAGAAACTTCTAAACATAGAAGAAATCAGGGTCGAGCGCCACCGTCTTCTCGACGCTTCTTTGCTGCCCCAGGTGCGTACAATTGCGAAGAAAAGCAGGTGCTCTTCGACCGTCAAGTCTTCGAAGAGGATGTTGTGTTGCGCGCAATAGCCGATGCTCTCGCGCGCGTCCCTGGTGCTCTTTCGGATGTCGTAGCCTCCCAGTAACACCGTACCGGAGCTGGAATCGATAAAACCTGCGTACATAAAAACGCCCCGTGAGTATTACGTAGGAATTGCTTGGAACACGGCAGAATAACACGCGTTCGGTTCGGAATCATGAGGTTCTAGTACGGCGCTTACTGGTGTCCCTTCGGTTTACGAAGGCGAGATTCACGTGAATGCCACGCAGTACAAAAAAAAAAAAAAGCATAGCGGCTAAAGATTTGTTACGTGACAAGGCTACCAAGTCGGCGACTAGTCAGAGAGAACGTAAACGGTCAATTAGTACAATGGTAAATTTTATATTAATAATATTGTAGGTCGGATCCTCGAGCCGGTATACGACCGCATGCAGCGCCACCGTGCATATCCGGGACCTTTCTACGCTCGCCGCTCGTCGGTGCCTGATCCCACTACCCCTTTCTAGTATGTGCCGCCTTTTCAACCGCTTAGTGGCGGGTATGTCGACGTGTCATTTATTGTTTCCGTACTTTATAAAATGCATTTGTTTCTTTTCTGATCTAGAATACAGAAGAACTACTTTCAAAAATAATTGAAACAGTTCGCGCCACTTAGATTTTGTATTTCGACAAAAAAAAAAAAAAAAAAAAAACTTTTAGCGGCTCTGACCAGCAGTAAGGCCAGGACCGAAGACGTCACATATTGCTCGCTTTCGGCACCGCGGGTCGCCACTGTCGGAGGAGGAGGTTTCTGCGTCGTCCGGTTAAAATTTGACGCAGTGATATTTAGTTACTCTCTTCGTGCCCCCTGCTTGCCCGAACCCCAAGAGACGTGGAAACGGTAAAAAAAAAAAAGGCTAGACGCTTAAATATGATTGCAGGGCCCCTTCAAAGTAAACATACACATTATTTTCTTAAAATTTAAACTAATCAAATTTCTAATACTTGTGCGTTATGGTGCAGAATACCTTCATTTTGTTGTTTTTAGAAACTTCTTATCGTACGTAAAGAAGAAATTGAAACGAAATATCAAGTAAGCAATCACCCACATTCAGCTAGCTGCACGTTTTAAATAGTGTAATCAAGTACTTTGGTTTCGCAGTATAATGGTTACTTGGTAACGGCTCTTTAGGGCCACTATACATGCATGGAAAGTGTGGTGATGATGATGATGATGCTCACCGGTGATGATGTTGAGGAGGGTGCTTTTTCCGGCGCCATTGTGGCCCAAGAGCACTGTGATCTGGCTCTCGAGGATACGTAGGTTGGCGCTACAGACTGCCCTCACCGTATCGTAGTTCTGCGGGTGAAAGCACAAGCATGTACCGAGCAATTATTTTTTTAATGCATGCTTTGCTTTTTTCACCAAACCCCCTGATTCCACTCATCTGTCCGTCCGTGAAGTTTCCCGCCATTTGTTTCGGGCGAATTGATGTCACGTGACCTGATGGTCCGTCACGTCAGGCCACATTTCACTCTAACGTCACGGTACCAAATCCAACGTTATTAGATTAGCTCAGTTAAGGAACTGACCTTATACACCAACTCATGTTTACAAACAAACCGGAGCGCCCCTAGCGGACGCCACCGGCGCCGCGCATGCGCGGTGGATGGTGGGCAAGAAGCCCGCCGTCGCCCATAAACAAACCATTGAACTGCGTTGTTGTCGGCGTCGGTGGGAGTCCCCGTGCTCTTTTTCGTGTTGGAATTGTTGATGCTACGCCCTCCTAACAATGTCTGGCTACTTGAGCGGCTTCAGTAAAACTAACGAGGCAAAACTTTGCGTGAATAATGTGACGTGCGGCGATTCATTTCACGTGGACGCCGCAGAATGGGCGGTAAAGCCTGACTCCCACGATGAGATTCTGCTCGCTGTTTTCAGACGCGACATTGCTAGGACTGCAAAAGCGTGGACCGTAGCTGAGATGGTGGACGTCGATACTGAAAACCGCAAGTAGAATCGGGCATTACAAGTCGGTAATGGCCACCGGTAACAATAATGATAAACATCTTCTTGTATCTGTTTACACTTAACCTACTTATACCCCAACCAACCTTCAAAAGTGTTTTGAGGCCTGCACTTAGTTCTTATCGCAATTACCGGGTCAACGTTTGGTTTACGGGCCGCTGTCGTTTGAACGAGCTGACGACAAAAAGCAGCCAAGTTTGAAAGAGCAGACGACAGTTCGAACGCATGCGTAATGGGGTACGGACAAGAAGCACCGCGTCCCGCGGCAACAAACCACTCGAATGTCACGTTGTCGGCGTCTGTGTGAGACTGCATACTCTTTTTCGCGTTAGAATTGTCGATTCTACGTCCTCATTGCAATGTCTTACCGCTTTAATCGCCTAAGCGAAATTATCAAGGCTCGTTACGCCGCTAAACTTTCCGTAAATAATTTGACGTGCGGCGATTCATTCGCATGAACGCCGCAGAATGGACGCCAAAACAATGATGATATTCTTCCAGCTATTTTCGGAAGCGACATCGCTCGTGTTGCAAAAGTGTAGAAGGTAGCGGCGATGATCGACGTCGATATTGAAAATCGGAAGCGGGAACAGACCAAGCGTAACAAGTCGGTGATGGCCACCGGTACCAATGATGAACATCTTGTATCTATTGCTTACACCGAGCCTACTTAAGTCTTTTGAAGCCTGCACTTACTTCTTATTGCAATCACCGGGTCAAAGTTTGGTCTACGGGCCGCTTTTGTTTGAACGAGCAGACGACAAAAAGCAGACGTTTGAAAGAGCAGGCGAAAGTTCGAACGATCAGGCGGCCGTGTGAATTTGAAGACGCACTGAACCCGTGGGTGGTTCGGACAACTTGGCGGTTTTCTCTCGTTTATGTTGGAACAAAGCAAATACATCTGGCGACCACAAAGTGTTGCTCGCGCACGCAATCGTAGTTCGACAGCGTCTGGTTTGCCCTTTTCACGGCTACTATCCACGTTCTCGGACGAACGGAGGGGGCAAAAACATATGAAAACTGATCTTCAAACCTTCCAGACTCTCTTGGTACAATCCCCGTCGCAGCATTTTGATGAGAAAGCAGGTTTTTTGTCTCGTTTCTTCCAAGGGACCACAGGAATGCATGTCTGGCACGGCGACTTCTGCCCACCGCCCCAGACCGGAAGTGCGTCCGGCGCGCCACCACCGCGGCGTGACGTAGGAGAGTTGAGTTCGTGTATACACTGCTTTCAAGAGCAGTACGCCCCCCCCGCCCCGCCCCCGCCCCCCCCCCCCCCCTCCCTCCCCCACGGCCCGCCTCCTGTCGTTTGACACGCCACCGTTTTTGGTACGGCTGCTATAGTAACTGCAGTGTATAACTATGGAACAAATATGTTTCGAAGAACAGCGTTTAAATGGTGTTTCATCCTACTCTGCGGGAGGGTGGTTCCCGTTTCGACCCATTCCCATTTCAACCTTTCCGTTTCGACCCGGCTCAAAACGACCTGCTCGTTTCGTGTTTTTCTATTTCGCCCACCAAACCGGAATGGTTTGTTTCGGGCTACACCCCTATGAAACACAAACGCCTGAAACGAAAATCTAGGTGGCGCTCGAGATGTCGACGGGAGAAAAACAGAAAAAGAGGGTAAGGGAGTGGGAGGGGGTGGGGGAACACTTTACGCGAGATTTCCACAGCTGGACTAATCCAGTAACGCTGGTCAAGTCGCGGTGTCAAGTAAAACCATGACGTCTCGTCAGATCACTTTCTCCGCTAAATTGAACGGAGACAATAATAAACAATAGAGAGTTTTAGTAGACCGTTCCGATACCTCCGATAGCCCCGATAACGATACTATGCATGCACAATGGAGGCGGTGGCGGAGTATCGGGTATCGTTATCGGAGTCATGGGAACGATCTACTAAAACTCTCTAATATGTTCGTCACTCCACGAAACGACTGTTTAATGGCTTCTAAACAAATTTAAACGATCGTTGAATGCACGGATAGCAGTTAAATACTTTATTCCGTGCATTATGGAACTTTGAAGATAAAGCCGGGTCACACTGCTTATATATCATACAGAAGACAGCCTGCAAACAGATTCGGACGCAAGTCGCCACGAGATCCGTGCTTCGAATTCCGCTGACGAGTTCAAGGACAAACTTGGCACGCGACATTCCAACCATGGGTGATGTTTGCCAGACTGTCTTTCGTATGCTACGTAAGCAGAGTGACCGCGGTTTTAAAAGCCGCTGGTAATTTGTTTTCTTGCAAGCATCAAGGACCAACCTTGCAGGCCTGCACAATTTCAATGGCGACCATCTGGTTATTGGGTTCAGCCTCGAAGTTATCTTTCTCTTGGGCCGTTATCTCCGGAGTCGTGACGAACTCTTTCCGCGGGACCCAGTAGCTCGCCTAAAGTGCAAACATAACTTGATATTAGTGCCAAAACTGTGACGACCGGGAGATTTAATCCTTCCTAAAGTGAATCGCCTAAACGTAGTCATCGCCCGAAACATTAAACTTCGTTACAGAAGGTAGGCATGACGCCGTACACTGCCAGAATATACGGGTATTTTCATTTTATTTCTTGCATTTTACCCGTAAATGCCCACTGGGGGCTTTACATAAAGGGAGCGGGGGATGGAACTATAAATGGGAGAATAAAAATGAACAATAGCTAAATTTTCTCACATGAACAAACATGATGTTACGTGGCGTGGAGAGTGGCAATGACAGATCGCAAACTGTCCACTTCTGGGATGGGAACAATATGCTCAGTTATATTATTCCAATCAGAGATAGCAAAATTTAAGGGCAAAAACTTCAACTGGTTAGTCCGAGGTATAACTAGTTGAATTTTTTATTGCAAGATTAGTGCGAGGGGAGATGGAAAGCCGACAGACAGTATGCATCTTTTTTTTAAGAAAAGTGGTAATACATTTTGTACTGGTGTGCTGTACTTTGCGTGATATGTTTCTTCGGCATTTCAAAAGGGGGAGGCTTAGTTCAGATTTCAATGCAGTGATGCTGGTCGTAGACGTATAATTACAAAGGACGAAACGAGTGGCCAAGTTTTGAAAGGCTTCCAGTTCTTCTTCTAGGTATAGACCAACACGCGGCCCTGACGTCACGCAGCTGCGGTGGCGCTGTCGACGGCACTTCGCGTGCGCAGACGCTTCACTTCACCCGAATTTGGTTGTGCGCGCGCGCAGTGCCCACACCTGGTGTGAGCAAACGCGGGCTTGTTTTTAAACAGCGTGTCGGTATATAACTGATGGGGGTTCCAGACAGGTGAGGCGTATTTGAACTGGGGACGGACGAGAGCATTATATGCGATGAGTTTAGTTCCGGACGCAGCCTGATTAAGAGAGGGCCTTTTAAAAATCTTAAACTTCGGTTAGCTTTTGCAGAGATGTGGCTGATACGAGGTTCCCACGATAAGTTAATATGAAAATTAGTGCCGAGATATTTGTATGTTGCTACAGCTTCAAATGGTACCCGTGAAAGTGAATAATCAAACTGGGTAGTACTTTTCTTGGTAGTGAAGTTGAGGAAGTAAGTTTTATTAACGTTAATTTCAATTTGCCCATGTCGACATCACGATTCAACATGAAGCAAATCAGTTTGAAAAGGGTACAATCGGACACTTTTGTTATTTTTTTTATAAATTACTAAATAACACAGTCATTCCCACATAACCGAATAGTTGAGCAAAGAAGATTTGGGAGGTCGTTTATGAATATTAAATATAGTAAAGGGCCCCGCACGGTTCCCTGCGGTACTGCTACTTAACACTTTTTTTGTAAAAAGCAAATAGTATATATTGTAACATTATGAATTCTATCTGAGAGTAAATTAGTTATCCAATTTTAAATCGATGCTTTTATTTGGAGGGTGTTAAATTCTTGATTGAGACGACTATACGGGTATTTGTCAAAAGTTGTTTTAATATTGATGGTCGCGTTTTCAAGATGTTGCTTTTGGTGGATATCAGTATACATATTTAAACAACTGAAATTCACAGAACCGGGACCGCCGGAAACCGTGCTGGTTAGTGAAAAGTAAATTGTTGAGACACGAATAATGCAAATAATGCATTACAGTAGAATAGTTAACATGTTCCATCATTTTTCATGACACAAACGTAAAACTTATTGGCTTGTAGTTAGAAGGATCATCTTTTAAACAATCTTTAGAAACCGGAATAAACATAGCACTTTTCCAATTAGCCGGTACTACATCAGAATCGAGGGATTTTTTAGAAGGTGTGATGCAGTACACTGTATATTTCTCTAGTGATTTTTTGCAGTTCAGACGATATTAAATCAGGACCAGGAGCCGAATTTGATGGTAACTCTGATATTACTTTTAAAATACCGTTTGTCAAGTTTGAAAGACTGACTTCTTGCAAACTTGTATAACGCTCCAGGATAACGTGTAGTCAGCGTACACTATCTGTAAAAAATTCGGAAATTGCCAAGTTTACCATAAACTGAGAAACGGATTACTGTATTTTTGCTTCCGGTAATAATTCCCAATCTCGAAACTCGCGCGGTTACAAACTACAAACTCGCGCGGAGTTACAAAACTAAAAAATTCTTCGAAAAAAAAAAAAATACGCCGGGCAGAGGCACCCTCGTGACCTTGGTGAGGGTGCATTAGCTGAAAGACACGCAAACCATACCGTAAATGGAAAATATAAAGGCCTGGCGATTCCTGGTCCGATCGGAAGGACGTTGTCCAGGTACCAGACAAGCAGGGCAATGAAGCAGTCGAACACGAGGCCTACGGCCACGATTTCGGCCACTGTGACGTTGTCCGGCGTCGCCGAGTGGTCGAAGAAGTTGCCCCATGTGGCACCTGTGTCCACTGCACAAAATGTTAAAAGAGGAAGTCCAAATGGGCCCCAGAGCGTCGAAGGCCTCCTACAGTTGAAGAGACACCGGGCGCAATGATCCCCAAGAACATAATCATCATCGCAACGCAGTCGATGAGATTGCAGCATCGGCCAATAAGAAGGCCGAAGAACGACTACCGGAAGTAAATGCGCCGTCATAACAGAGATATTGCAAAAGTACGTTGGAAGAGAGATGAAATTACCTTACTATTACTCTTCTGAAAACTGCAAAAATGTATTTAAATTACATTACAAATTACTGCGGACTAAAATAATGACATTGCATCACTGTTACTTTTCAAAAGTAATGAAACCAATCAAACGTTTTTTTCTCTTTCAAATCCTTCAGGCAGTGAATGGTGCAAATTTTGTTTACAGTATATACGTGGTGCCTGAAATGCCGACGCTCGATTTAAAATGAGCCCTAAAAATCGGCGCCTACAAGCAGCAATATGAACTTTTCGCCAAAGGTGTATTCCACAGCTGGTTTTTGCTATGCAAACTTACAACGCGTAGCTCCCTTTCTGCAAAAGGTAGGACCAAAAAACTTGCCAGGGTCAACGGCGGACGGTGTCTCAGACTCTCAGACGACCGAGCCGAGTAATGGTGCGCATTTGGCGCACGTATTGATAGATTATAATGCAATTAAATGCAAAGGGGCAAGCGAGCTGGACAATAATGATGAAAACAATCCCTGGAGAAGGGGAACAAGAGGGACAAGGGACAAACATAAATCTCCAAACACAGCTAGGTGACTGGTGAGCGACCGAACAAATCCGCCTGGTCCGGGTATCGAACCCGGGACCTCTTGTAATGGACTCCACTTGTAATGGAGAGGTCCCGGGTTCGATACCCGGACCAGGCGGATTTGTTCGGTCGCTCACCAGTCACCTAGCTGTGTTTGGAGATTTATGTTTGTCCCTTGTCCCTCTTGTTCCCCTTCTCCAGGGATTGTTTTCATCATTATTGATAGATGGCGTGAGAAGCAGCGTCGGAAAGTGTAACCGACCAGCGAAAGAAGGGAGAGGACACACAGACAGAATACGTCGGTAGCGAGAGCGCCGTCCTTATCCAACCGCGTTTTTTTTTATGATTCTTCTAACTTTAAGTTTTTGCTGCTATTGTCCGCAGTTATTTTTAAACCAAGTCTACTTTACAAAAAGATGACGCTCATTTTAGTAGACGACGGTCGACGCGGGCACTTTTGATATAATATATATATTAGCAAGTCGGAACAAGGAGGTAGCGCCATCTATCAATACGTGCGCCAAACGCTCCCCGCCACTCAACTCGGTCGTCTGTGTCACCGTCCGCCGTTGACCCTGACCAGTTTTTTGACCCTATTTTTTCGTGGAAAGGGAGCTAGGCCTTGCAATTTTACAAAGTAAAACCCACTTCTGAAATATGCCTCTGACGAAAAGTTTAGATTGCTACGTGCAGGCGCCGATTTTTACGGCCCATATTAGGTCGAGCCTCGGCATTTCAGACACCCCATATAGCAAACTGAGATTTTCTTGTTGGCGTTGCAGCAGCCACGTGCGCCTCGATTTGAGCCAGACTGAATCGTCGCTTCGCTGGCGCATACGACGGAAGTGTTAAACATGATTGACAGCTTCTTTAGCAGTTGTCTATCATCGGCTTCGCTGTACATGCAACGGTAAAGGTATTGATTTAAAGGGTGATATAATTCCATCTTCCTGATTTTTAACAAGTCGTAGTACGTGTCAGTAACCTGCAGTGTTGTGCCCGTTACCGAAAAAAAGTAACGAAGTAGCGTTACTCGTTAGTTTGGTAAAATGTAACGCGTTATCGAGCTACGTCACTCTTTTACAAACGTAACGATATACCGTTACCGTTACTTTTCAAAAATAACGCACGTTACTTTTACGTTACTTTTCTGTTCGAGTACATATGTTTGGCAGAGATGTATGATAAGCCTCCTTAACAAGCCTGGATAAAGACAAAAAATTACAGAGCGGTTTCATAGTGTTTTGATGCGCGAAGCAGCTTAATTTTCGGCATGCAGATTAGGCATTCAAACTGTAAATTACCTGATTCTGTCTCCTTTAGTTGATACATTTCATTCAGACCTGCTGGCCATGGCGACGGACTTTCGTTATTCATGCCCATCTCAAGTGCAGAATGAGTCGGAGATGTTAGTCAATCGGCTTTTATAAACTACTGCATGCGAATGAGGACTGCTGGAACACACCCAGCCAACCAACAACCCTCATCTGTACGCCGGTTTTAGTAACAGTCCGGTTAATACTATTACCAGAGACTGATTTACTTCACTATCTGGAACAGGACACTGGTTACCAGCACACTGGCTATAATCACTTGCTGCCTCTTACCAGCAGTAGCTCTTAGCTTTACTGTGAAGAAAAAAAAAATGGTTTCGTGTTTGTAAGTTTTCTTTCCAGGTTTAAAACTTTTATAATTTTTTTTTATCATGACCTTAGGGAATTAAAGACCAATCAAGCGAAAGATTCTTCTGTGTACAAAAGTGGGTCATGAACTTTCAGGCAGCGAGGGGGAGAGCCAGGGTAAAAATATTCCACAAAGGATTTTTTTTTTGGTTTAAACTAGAGAAATTAGCAAATCGCTTCGACAATAGTTGTCCACTGTTGTAAACGGATGTCTCTCCACGGCTCCCCCCCCCCCCCCCCCCCCCCCCCCCCCGCTGTCAACTTCTGCTGCACAAAGCAGGGGGGCGGGGAGTAAGGCCCCGGGGAGAGGAGGGAGGGGAGGAGGCTGTAACGCAGTCTTTCGTTCAAGCCTTGTGGGTGGTGACACTACGAAAAAATAAATAAAAAATAAAAGGAGGATGAACGGAATTAGCTGGTAGCCGAAAGTTTTTTTCGCCTTTGAGAAGTGAGTTTTCTTCTTTTTGTTTTTTAACTTTACTGTGACGAATGCTAGTTCCGTGCAGCGATAAGCTGGTGCAAGATTTTGAGATAAGCTCGTGCAGGATTTCACCAGTTTTATGGCAAAAGTAACGAGTAACGGGTAACGAAATTTGACAGCCGATACCGTAAAAAGGTAACGGAAATATTTTACTCGTTAGTCATTCAGAATACTAACGAGTACGTTACTGCGTTATCGAAAAATGTAACGCGTTACCAGTAACGTCGTTACTAGTAACGCGTTACTTCCAACACTGGGGTCCATGACAGCTCCTTTTAACAAGAAGTGGTTATGGTGAAACTTTCCCTTCTGGCTCGGACGAAGCCAGAAGACAAAACTAATTCTTTTCTTTCAGCAGCACAAGTCGAAGCAATCCCACGAACATGGGTAGTATTGTTCCAAAGGATCAAAACACCAGAAAAGCCCAAATTATTGCGCGCAGCTACACGCGGACGTCAGGTACAAATAAATGAAATGGGGTACATGTGAGGTACAAATAAATGAAATCAAAAGAAAAAGAAAGACGTTTGCTGTGCAGAGATACCACCAGGACGGAAAGGTGTGGAGCAAGCTTCCGAAACTGTCTACTTTCCAAACGAACTTGTGCCGGTATTTGCGCGTTTTCTTACTGCAACATAGGCTGGATCGCCTTGCCTAAAACTCTGTGAGCCGTGGCCTTCCAGTCATGTCTTCCCGCGAAAGATTTCCTCCATTTGCTTCGCCTTTCGATCCAGTCTTCCTGTTCCTCATACGGGGCTTTTCACGCAGATGACCTTCCTCTAATTCATTGTAGGAAACTTTGAGAACGAAGAAGGAACACACGGGACGAGCGCTGACTATCAACTAAAATATTTCAATAGAAAAACACATGAAAACGACCATTCATTTGTTGCTATCACGAGACAATTCATTGCAGCGTGACGGCACGTGCTAAAAGCAAAAAAAAAAAAAAAAAAAAAAAAAAGAAAAGGTCATATTATGCTGGCCCAAATTCAGATGTAATGTAATTGAGTTAGGACAGTAGTGTTGCTAAGCGTTGCTTAGTATTTCTTCTTTTAAGTCTATTGCAAACGTCACCTAAGTGAGAAGCTAAAAAAACATTATATGGCAATATATACATAACAAAGCGCTAAAAAAATACAGGTCAGAAATGGCAATGAACCCAAATCTTAATTTTCGCAAAATGTGCAGAAGGTGCAAAAAAAAAAAAATAATAATAATGAGCAATTTATGCCTCGCGTAAACGCGGACCAAAAATTACCCTTTCATTTTATTGGTCATTTTATTTTATTTGTTTGCTCTAAAACATAATTTTCTGATCATGTATTTTATTTAAAATTGCAGTCTTTGTGAACCGCTATTGAACGTTCTCTTGAAAAAAACTGACCCCCCTCCCCCCAAAAAAAAGAAATTGTTAGGCGATTTATTATGGTGTCAGAAAACTACCCTAACAATGTTTTGCTAAAGCGCCTCGTATATTTTAACAAAATAAAAGAAAACGCAACTGCTGGGGTGGAAACCCAAATTGTACTGCGGAAAGAAGAAATATAGAGGAGGAGACTAATTGCCAGAAGGCACGTGACTGTGCAACTTTCTTTTTTCAATCAACGCATTTGCAGCTTTTCTGAAGCCACAATAAATAGCTACCATATTTTGTTTCTACTTTTAATAATGGGTGTGTGCCTTCAATGACCTACGACTTTGATTATCTTTGGTGGTAGTGTCTAAACCATACAAAACGGCACGTGACCACGGAGAAGAGAGTGAGCGCGATTGAAACCGGCCAGTTCTCGATCGACAGTTTTCGGGCATCAATTTTGGTGTTCTTGGTAGTTGGGCTTTCATATATGTCATGTAACAATAAAAACCCTGGCGAGCATAAATACCCTGTTAGTGTCCCTTTAAAGTACACACACGGCACACGCTATTGGGGAAGAGCACGCACCGAACTTCTCGAAACGGTTGAGGACGCGGAAGATCCAGTGGAGGTTCATTCCTGGAAAGATGGAGGTGAAGAGTTTGTGCTTGCGCGAGATGAAGTGGTAACCGTGACCGGTGCCCTGGTCCAGTATCAGGAAGGGCATCGCACTGCTCAAGGTCCAGTACAGCATGGCGCCGGCCACAGCGGACGCAGCTGAAAAAATGCCAGTCGGATTCCTCCGTGTAACTATGCAGACACATTTTCAGTTCCAGGTGATGCGGCATAACTTATACATGGTCATAATATTTTATAACAGCCCCCCAAAACAACGTTGTTTGTTCTTAGTTATACGTGAATAAGCTAGTGAAAAAATTATCCGCTAAGATAAGCGGGTAAGTTAGATACAGAATTCGTTAAGTGTGCATCTCATCCTTTAAGAGCCACAGAAAGACAGAGAGCAATGCAAATGAAACAGGTCTAAAACTGCTAAAAATCCGAAGAGAGGAATACAGATCTGGGTGGCTGAAACTTCAAAAAATAAAAAAAGGCTCATTTTTTAGACAAAAATAATAGCGAACGTAGCCAACGTAAGATGACAGAAATGGACAACAAGATGCTACTTTGTCAAGGCGCGCTAGCTTTCACAATGCTGCGGCCTCGCACTGCTGCTAGAGAATATGCTAGTGACTTCCTCATGCATTCGCACGCGCTTGAGCAAGTAGCTTTGAAAGCGTTAGAGCACTGCGCAAGATAGCGTTTACAAGGGGGCAGAAGATAGTTGACATCCAAGGTAGCTCCCGTTGTGATGAGGCAAACCAACTGGCGTCGAAGACTCACGGTTGGCGAAGAAGAGCGACAAGAGAGCAGCGTGTAGCAAGCACGAGCTGCAGAAGCACATGAGTATTCCGAAGACCAGGAACGGGTCGCTGCTCTGGATGAACGAGCGTCCTTTATCGTTGTGCTTGATACACAGAAAGAGCATCATCAGGGTGACCGTGATGAGGTGCATGAAGAAGGCGCTGAGGTAGTGGCTGGCCCAGTACACCCAGTCGCTCAGTCCCACGATGCGCAGCATTTCCCTCATCCCAGATGTCTTCTCGTCCGTCAGGCGTGCCGCAAAGACGGCGAAAGGCACCAGCATGCCGATGCAGAAGCGGCTCAGCACGAGCGCGTAATTGCTGATGTCCATCTCCTCGATGTAGGAAGGGTACGGAAACCGTTGCAGTTTCACGGGCGGCACCGCCGCCGTGGACAGGTTGTGTCTGAGCGCCAGGTACTCGAGGTGCCGCTGCTGAAGAGTCCCGATGATGGGCATGATGGTGTTCATCTCGACAAAATGAGCTTCGTTCGCCGGACCAGGCGGTTGCGACAGGAGCTTCTCACCAAACTCCACGTGGGTGTCCAGGGGTAGACGGCCGGCCACCACCACGCAGTCCAGACTGTTCGGAATCCCGGTTGTGTTCGAGCGGACGTTTTTGAAGTGCAGGCCAATGACTACGGTGGGAGTGTCGTTCAGCTTATTGATGGCGTCGTTCAGGTTTTTGAGACTGTCAACGGCGGAGACATCGAGCACGCCGAGGTCGCTGAACGACTCCCGCACCAGCTTGGAGAGATACTGGGATTTCGGGTGGTACAAGACCTGCGATGTTATATTTTTATTATTCCTCATGAGGCCAATGACATTGCAAAGTTATCTGATAAGACTGGCGAATGACTATTCACGAAGAAAGAAGAGTAAACACATTAAACACTGTGTATGTGACATTCGCCTTTTCTTACGTTGACGGATTCAACATACTGTCTTAAGAGAAACGAAAACAAACAGCTTTCATGCGACTCTCTGCGCAACTGTCGACGTCACGCCACCACTGAACATACGAAACGTGCTGAGTTCCAAGATAGGCTCGATATCCGTTTCAACATGTTTTTCGACTTTACAAATTACAAAATACTATATGTAAAAACAGCTGTAGTCCTAGGCACAATTTTAACGCTGCCACTTAGGGGACGAAGGACCTCTTTGACTCGCCCTAAAAAGACGTGCTTAGTAAGATTCTGATCAAGGAACCCATTTCCAGTCGTGCGCGAAAAGTGGAAAAAATAATAATAATTTCAGTGAAAAAATCAAACAAGTCCAATTTATTTCATTTAACTCGATATGATTGAATATTAATTAGAATTTTTCTTTTTATTTACATCAAAAATACATAATTCCAATCACTTCAGCTAAAAAAACGAGTGACTTTTTTGTCACTTTATATGCTGTTTTTTAATCACTGTTCTATATAAATCTTTCGTGTTCGATCAATATTTGCATTAATTACAACAATATGCTCATGGGGAAGCAGACATTGAAAAAAAATAAAAATGGCCTGCAGAAATCTCTAGTTTTGGTCATCCTAGACGTCCTGGAGGACGGCGTCAAATACGACGTCTAGAACGACTTCAAGGACGACCTCTAGGGCAATCTCAAGGACGACCTTTAGGACAACATCAAGGGCGACGTCAAAGACAACGTCTAGAACGACCTCTAGGACGTCCTCTGGGGCGATCTCACACCGACGTCTGAGACAACCTTTAAAACTATGTCTAGGACGGCGTCTTAGAGAATGACATCAAAGACGACATCCAGAACGACCTGTAGGACGTCCTCTGGGGCGATCTCACACCGACGTCTAAGACAACCTCTAAAACTATGTCTAGGACGACGTCCTAGAGAATGACATCAAAGACGACATCCAGAACGACCTCTAGGACGTCCTCTGGGGCGATCTCACACCGACGTCTAAGACAACCTCTAAAACTATGTCTAGGACGACGTCCTAGAGAATGACATCAAAGACGACATCCAGAACGACCTCTAGGACGTCCTCTGGGGCGATCTCACACCGACGTCTAAGACAACCTCTAAAACTATGTCTAGGACGACGTCCTAGAGAATGACATCAAAGACGACATCCAGAACGACCTCTAGGACGTCCTCTGGGGCGATCTCACACCGACGTCTAAGACAACCTCTAAAACTATGTCTAGGACGACGTCCTGAACGACCTCTAGGACGAATTATGGGTGAGTTGATATGGTTGGTACCACTCTCTAGGATAACCTCAAGGACGTCATCTTGGACGACCTCAAGGATGAACCATACAACGACGTCAAAGACGACGTCCGCATACGCGCGGCGCCTGCGTATGCGGACGTCGTGCGTATGCGGATGCCCTGCGTATGCGGAGGCGCATTCGAGGCCGGAGAGCGTATTGCGAAAGCCGGGTGAAGTAGCTAAGGATTGCTATCTCATTAAAACGGTAAGTAGAACATATTTATAGCAATGTTTTTGGGGGAAGTGCCTAATTTAAATCATCATAGCCGAATCGGTGCGATCTAAATCATGATATACTGTTTTAAATCATGATATAGATCATCCTGATTTTTATTTTTCACTCTTCTTGCGCGAGACAAGACCTTAGCGTGGTTGTGCAAGGCCAAGGCGCACCTTGTCGATGGCCACGACGTCCGGCATGTTGTTCCAGTACTTGGTGGGCGCGCTGGTCGGGAAGTGCGTGTCCGGGCGGACCTTCATCGTCTCCCTGGTCACGGCGTACTCCTGGATGCCCAGCAAGAGAGCCACGACGAGGGCCACCTCCAGGATGGTCGTCACGTAGTGCCGCCTGAGCCGCTTCACGTACACGTTCTTCCAGAGGATGATGTGCAGCTGCCACAGGCTGGCAGTGCACGGACTCACGTCCTTCTTCTCCGCCGCCTGGGGGACGTTCACTGCGCGGAAACCACGTGGGTGAAGAGCAGAAAAATTAGGATTGCGCTCCTAGGCGTGCTAAAAGTTAAGAGAAGTACTAGGGGGACAGCAAAGTGTGGGGGCATCGATTGCTTCAAGTACGAGCAAGAGGGACTTAATAAGCTACATGTCAGAGTAACGAGGGCCACTCCAGGAATCTTGGAGCCTAATATTATAGTTGCTCGTTATTTTATGCTTTATCTAATTATGCAGAAAAGGCCTTTCCGTCCTCCAGAAGTACTAAAACAGTTCGCGACCGAACAAAACGATATCGCCCGGGCTACCAGACACGCGGGAGAGAAATTCCTCCCTTTGATCTACGCTGTGCGTGTCACGTGTCCACAACGTCACGACTTTGCGCGCAGGCGAGCTGACGTAGACATCCCCGAGGAATCAGAAACCTTTTTCTCGGACTGCACAAACAGTTCCCCGCCTTTGGGGGGGGGGGGGGGGGGGATCTTTTCGCAATTGGCGGCACCTTGCTGGCGTGTCTGGCAACTTTACAGATCCTGCTCTGCTCTCGACCACAGCATGTTCGCGCTCTCACAACACCGCCTAGAAGACAAGGCAGTAGGGCTGACATTTTTGCGTCATCATCGAAGGCCAACGCTGGACACAGGTTGGAAACGAGTGTTGCATCAGTGCTCGGCTCCTGAGTCAAGTTTGAGACGAAAGTTGACGCGATCGTCGTGTCCAATTTGTGGCAGGCGTTGGCCTTTGCTGATGACGACATCCCTATCAACACTAGGGCTTTGTTATCTAAGAGGTGCTGACTCTCATCAGCCCCTCTTAAACATCAAAAGGTCGAATTTGGCCAAAATAACCGCCAATTTATTGAACTGCTAAAAGCGAGCGAGTTGAAGATGGATACTTAAAATTGAAAGAACAAAAACGCGGAGGACAAGCACAAGCCAACCAGGGCCAACCATTGGTCCGAAGTGCTGACGTCAGTACGAGCCAACCTCTGCCTCTCTCCCCGACGTTGACAAACTGAAAGACACCGCCGGGTTTTCGTCAGAACGAGACCTTTCGTTTTCGGCAAGTCACGCGCACAGCTGGCGTGGAGCCAGAGAGGAAGAGACGCCGCATAATACGTCCTAGATAGCAAAGACGTAGTGTTAAATAAGATGGCTTAATCAGAGAAGTCCAACGCTGGACATAGACTGAAATGAGTGCTGCGTCATTGCTCGGCTTCGAGTCAAATTTGAGCCAAGCGTTGACGCAATCGTCGTGTACAATCTGTGCCCAGTGTTGGCCTCCTCTGATGACGCCATCTTATCCACCACTACGGCTTAGTTATCTAGGAGGTGTTGCGCCGCGGCGCGTTAAAACGAAGGCGTGCTCAGTTGTCGCTCTGCCGTCGCCGGTTGTTCTTCGCTCTGGGTCTGGGTTTTCGTGTAGTAGCGGTGCGCGGGATAAAACCATGAATGCGGTTCCTTCCACGAGTGGTATAGGTGGGGTTCTTTCCACAAGTGATAAGGGTGACCGTATCCAAGAGCGTCGACGTACTCCCACGGGAAAGGGGTGAACAAATTACGGGAAGATCCATTGGTGGATTCTTAAGGAATCTGTTAGCATGACCTTTGGGAAACGCCATACACGTCCCTTTTTCGGAAACGCTAACACTGACCTCGTAACGAGGCTGAAAAGCGGCAGAAACAATAGAGGAAGCAAAAGAGAAAGCCGAAAGAGAAAAAAAGAGAAAAGACACCCCCTTCACCATGGGTGAGCTCTTGGACGCTCTAGCAAAAGCAAAAAGCAACACAGCTCCAGGCCCGGACCACATTACCATCACAGCACTCCGAAACCTTCCGGATGAAGAAATGCGTGAGCTCCTAGACAAATACAACGGGATATGGGAATCCGGGCAACTTCCCGCTGACTGGAAGATATCCACCGTAATTCCCATTCCGAAATCGGGCAAACCCAACAATGACATCCAGAACCTCCGACCCATCTCGCTAACCTCCAACTTATGTAAAGTAATGGAACGTATGGTCCTGGCCAGAATAACCTGGATCCTAGAGTCACACAACAGGCTACACCCAATGCAAACTGGATTCCGTCCACACCTGTCCACACAAGACAGTCTAGCCATGATTCACAATGACATAACCAAATTACAACCTACAGTTCAGCCTCGTACAATAGTGGCGATCGACATCAAAAAAGCTTTCGACTCCATCCCACATGAAACAGTCATTCGAGGAGCAAAAAATCGAGGCCTACGTGGACGAATACTAAACTTCATTAAATCCTTCCTTCATCGACGCAAATTTCAAGTTCACATTGGATGCACCACGAGCCCCCTCACAAGAAACACGGTAGGAGTTCCCCAAGGAGCGGTCATCTCCCCAGTACTATTTAACATGGCCATGGCTGACCTAGCATTCCACCTGGAGGCAATTCGAGACGTACGTTACACTATATACGCTGACGACGTCACCTTATGGATCAACAAAGGCACACCCAACATTCAAGAAAGGCGACTTCAAGAAGCCCTGGATGTTACCATGAACTTTTTTGCATGAAACAAATATGATAATCTCAGCCGAAAAGACCACCTACACAGTCGTCGCCTCAAAGAGGGCTAGAAAGAAAAACATCGGAGACACCATTAATTTGTACGTTGATGGCACCAAAATTCAAAGACAACCAAGTGTAAAGATCCTCGGTCTCACAATCGACGAGGATGGGGGAGCACGGAGCTGGCTGAACCAGATTAAGATACAATGGAGACGCGGCCTTAACCTTATCAAGAGAACAACAACCAAAGCTTGGGGGGCAGAAGAAAAACCTTTAAAACTATTGGTACGATCACAGCTCGTCTCCAAAGCCATTTACGGTTATAACTACCTTCGTCTTACCAAGACCCGGCAAGATCAAGTTGAAACCCTTAACAAGGCAGCTATGAGAGTTATCACGGGTTTGCCCAAGATAACCCGCATTCCCGACCTACACAAAGCGGCTCAAATAAATACAATCAAAGAACTAGCAAAAGAAGCACAAAACAGTCAGAGAGACCGCCTCAAAAGAACCGAACCGGGAAGAATCATCCTTAAGCACCTCGGAATAACGGACTTCGAAATTCCAGCTATAGCCACTTTTCCTCCTCCATGGGAAGACGAATGCATAACAGAGATCAAGCCTATACCCCAAAATCAGAGCAAAGAGCACTGTAATAGAAGAAAAAATGTTGCCAAAAGACACATAAAAGAGGTAGAACATCTGCTTCAATGCAGACTTGGACGTAGTTCAACTACTCTACTCAAACTACTGTAGTTTAACTACTTTTTCGAGTAACTTGGTAACTTTCAATTACAACTTGATTTCGGTAATTAGTAGCTTAATTTAACTACTTTTTTCAAATAACTTCTACTCAAATTACTAACTACTTTCAAAATTATATAGTGCTAATTTTGCCCATCACGAAAGTTTGAGCGCAGAAATGAATAAGACGCCGGCAGATAAAGTGGCATTCCCGAACAAGGGGCCCCCCTTGTACGGGAAGGCGTCCTTGGGCCAAGGTAGCGACGAGCAGCCAAAACATAACACCGGCACTCACGAACGCAGGAAGAGATGCGTAACAAGCCTTGGTCGGGTATTGACCTAATCCGGTAATGCACGCAGGCGCCGCGTTTCCAGCTGCAACCATGAAAGACGGGGACACTCCGAGAGTTGTTTTCGTGTTGTCTGTCTTTAGTGGAGTTCTGACTCAAGCGGTAGGTTCCACGGGAGGCGCCACTGGAATGACCTCGCAGCTGGGCGCCTGTTCCCATGGGCGCCTTGTCGTCAGCGCATACGCCTTTGCAAAGCCGGACTCCCCCGCGCACAAACCCTGGCACGGATAATCCGTTCATGGGAGCACGTTCCCGCTTCCAGCTGCAACTGTATACGAGTGATGATGCTTGTTCACGTAATCCTTCGCGTCCTTCCGACCATCCATGCCTGGGAGACCTCCTCTTTGTTAAAAACGATTTACTTGTCAGGTGTGTCAGGCGCATCAGAATATTGTAGTCGCCGGGGAGGATTGCGAGTTACCCTTGGGAGATCGTTTTCTTGGACCCGGCGTCAGCGGCGAAGTATACTTCGGTTCATCATCTGTTAAACCAAAACATTTTTTTTTCAGCAGCGTAGCACTAGCACTACAACGGGACGCGCAGTCATCCGGATGATCTCATCGTCGTGGCGCGAGACTTGAACCCTTGACGGTCTGGTGCACTCGCTCAGCGTACTTTCAGAACGACGTCGGAATAAAGAGGGGCCAGTCATAACAATGTCAACTTGACGAAAAAAAAAAAAAAGGAGGAAAGTTTGTTATGAAAGATCCTCTACCCGAGGCAAACCTCACATGTTTACTCATGGACACCTAAGATGCCGACACTCGCTTACCCGACCCTGCACAGCCTGTTTCTCAAATTCAACGCTGCAGTTCCATCCAGCCCGTCGGTGGAACGTCTATTTAGCTCGGCTGGGGACGTCCTTAGAAGGAAAAGGGGAAAACTCTCCTATCAAGAACTTTGAAAGTCAATTGCTTCTGCGAGCGAATAAACTATTTTGGCGAAAACGCAAGCCATAAATAGACTGCATTTATTTTAGGCTCGCAGGGTTTTTCATTGATCAAAACTGCTGTTCATTTTGCTACCACAAAAATATAAAAAGTAACTTCGAAAGTAACTTCAAAGCAACTCGCTACTTATTTAGAGTAGTTAGTAGTTTACTCAATTACTATTACAAATGCGTAATTTCTACTCTACTCGAATTACATTTGGCGTTGGTACTCAGTAACTTAACTACCTTTTTTGAGTAATTTGTACATGTCTGCTTCAATGTAAGACCAATAAAGTCATTTACACAGACGCGTCGCGAAACGAGGACGGTAGGACAGACATTGCTTGGTACTCCTTCCGCACCGGCGAAACAAGCGCTAAAATCCTCCCTTATACCCCCAGTGCCAAAACCGCTGAACTCCAAGCAATCTTTTGGACACTAGAAAATGCCCAAGAGGATGAGCACCCCACAGAAATCTTCATCTACACTGACTCCCAAGAGGCTGTTAGAGAATGCAGGAAAGCCAGCAGCCGTAACAAGACTGTGAATGACATCAAAGCCGCAGCCCGCTATCTCCGAACTAAAGGAATCACCCTCAAAATTTCATGGATTCCGGGACACCAAGATATCCCGGGAAACGAAGAAGCCCATGAGGCCGCGCGGAGCACGCTACAAGCAACACAAGGCCTCCTGGACTCCTCCGCCACAATGCCCACCGAGGACCTCGATCCCGATGAAATAAAGACACTCGCAAGACAAGAGCGGAAAGCGAGGTTGACTGCTCTACTGCCAACGGAGGAACACCCGCTCCCATCAAAATACTCACGGTGGGAGCGGGTGTGCCTCCGGCGCCTCGCTACCAACACGGCCATTACACCAGTTCTACGAAAGCGTTTTTACAAACGAACATCAGAAGACGACCCGGGCCCTGACCCTAACTGCACAGAATGCCATGTACCGGCTACCTGCAGACACCTTATCTGGGACTGTCAAGCGACAGCAAGAAAACGACAGGAAGCGATCTCAAGACTTGCCGCCGAACTCGCACGACAAAACTACGAAGACTGGGTTACCCCCAACAGAGGTCCTCCAGAGAGGAAACTAATCCTCGACACCCTTCTTGACTTCGTCAAGAAGGCGGGCCTAGCCCAATATATATAACCACTTCCCTTTTTCCCTTTTTCCCAACCCCTACCCTCTACATCCCCCACCGGATAAGATCACTTTCGTCAAGGCATCCGGTGTCCCCTTTCTAAAATAAACGTATTCTCACTCTCACTCGCATTCCCTAAGAATCCACCAATAGATATTCCAGTAAGTTTTTTTTTTTTTAAATTTTGGTTTTAGAGGCTTTGGCAAGGAAAACAGAACTTCGCGTTTCGTGGATTCAAGAGTGACCATAATCTGCTTTCAAGTGAGAATTTTAAGCTCGTGCCAGGGGCCCTATGGTGAGCTTTTGGACTTCCACGGCGACTAGGGAGAAGGAAGTGACGTCAACGACACAGCAAACGCAGATTGGATGTTGGCAGAAGAAAACAAAATCAACATCCAATTTACGTTTGCTTCGTTGTTGACTTCACTTCCTTTTCCATAGTCGCCGTGGGAGTCCAAAAAGCGCAACATAGGGCCCTTGTGCTCAAGCACGCACATTCTCTGTTCAAACTCTTCGAACCGGCGATTCTCAGATAAAATTGGATTGCACCCGATCTGTATTAAACATAAGATATGGTGGCTCCCGCTATACAATTTGAAAATGAGATGCCAATACTTTAAGCGTGGCTTATATAGGGGCACTAGTACGAGCCAGAGCAAACCTCAGTAAGTTGTTGGCGAATGAAATCGAAAGTACAGGTAACGTTGTTACAGGGTGGTAGGAATCGCCGCAAAGTCAACTTTTTTATCATGCAGAACGCCGATTTCTCGGCGCTTTTCTCCTAGTCCGCCATCATAGCGCGATATACGCGTTAACGACGGCAAAACGAGCCCGACGAATTGGCTTCAAGGAATCGGCTCACCCGGCTCCATCGTGTAGATGCGGTTCCTTCGCTCGTGTGTTCCGAGAATGAATCCGGGTGCCCACGAGATCCAGCACGAGAGAAGCGCGAGAAGTGGCAACAGGGTTGCCAGAGGGCTCAATACATGGAGTGCCTGGTCAAAGTGAGGCAACTGCAGGGCTCGCAACACTCCAGCTTCTCTTCGATTTTGAGTTGCGAAGTTGAAGGATGTAAAAAACTGAATTTCTTCGATGCAACAAACGTGTCGGGACTCTTATCCCTACCGACAATCACTGTTGTGCCAGGAGTCGTTCCTTCACGGCCCTAAAAGCAAAAAAAAAAAAAAAAAAAAGAAGAAGAACCGTTACGAGCATATTGGTCAACCATCCACGTCGTCATAATAGCACACGATCATAGCCTGCTCTATTAGCGATGTGCTCGGCCAAAAGCGTCGCTGTGGTCGGCTTTCCACGATTGGCCGAACAATGGGCATATGAGCACTCTCAGATTGTCAACATTGGTGGTGTTAGTTTCGGATTGCGATGGCTCCTAGCTTCTACTGTGCTTTTTAAACACACCATCGAACTCGTCGTCGCACCCGATGGTAAGTAGCCAGAATAACAACTGGTGACGTCATGGCGAGGCAAATCCCAGTCGTGACGTCACGGAGGGAAACCATAAGAGGGCGCCACCGAAACATCTCGGCGCTAATACTAAAAAAGCCTGGCAGATAGTCAGGTGACTCAGCCGCCGAAAGTGAAAAGGTAGAGCGGCAAGCAACGGATAAGAGGAGAGTCATGTAACGGGCGCCCCGCTGCGGGTAGACGCCGAAACACACTAGACTTTTTCTTTCTTCTGTTGGTGAGGGTAAATGGAACGCCACCCCATCCGCGTTTCTCCGTTTCGGTTTTGTCTGTTTCGTTTGCGCTCAAAATTCTGCGGCAAACTGCCGTAGCTGATTGATTACAGAATACAGATATTGATACACAGGAACAGCGTCGAAAGGTCAGTATGGAAGATGACGATGACGACATTGAGAGGATGACACACCGGGCGACGGCGGCGCCTCGATCTCAGCCCTGGGCCTCGGTTCCTCGGAGGCGGCAGCTTCGACTATGGCTGCGCTACCTCCTTGGAGCCTGATGCCTCTAAAGCAGATCTGTTCTAAGAAAAGTGGCGACATTCATGGTTGAGGAAATGCGCGAGACACGTGCCGCGCGCCACTTCCACTAAATTAAGTGCCACTAAATTAGCGTAGCTAATTTAGACTCTAGCTGAGTGCTGAGCTCTGTCACCATAATCTTCCAAGGGCTGCACGTTGCACGTTCCTCGTGCATCGACGCACGTTGCACTACTTTTAAAGCAAAGGGGATTCAGATGCTTCGACCCCAATGGACCCCAGTGAGCAACAGCGCCATCATGTTCCTGGGGCTCCCGCACTCACCAATCGAACGGCGTGCCAGATCCCCGTGGCTCGCTGCTGACCCGCCCAACCCCCTCCACGAAATCTGAACTTCCGCGAAGCGGACTGCCGTCCTCCCCAATACCAAAAACCCATATCGTCGTCATCTTGCATGTATTTACTCATCCCATTATCATGCCCTCTAGACGCGGCACCGCGGGCCTCCATGGTACGGGCTGCTGCCTTTCCGCGGAGCCGCGGCTCTCCAGAGCCAAAGAAATAACGACTAAATACTAAAGACTATCACCTGCTTGGAGTTTTCGGTAGTCCATGCACCATAGGGCACACAACTGACCAGACAACATAGATAGTCCTGAGGACGTCCTCAGCTAATCGAGACATCTTCGTCCTGACGAAGACCTCATCGGGACGTCGGGAACTAGTGACGGCATTCTAGTTCTTTCAAAGACGTCTTGAGGACGTTTTCGGGTTCTCTTATTTAAGAAGGCTAAACAAGTATTCTCCCGAGTGATTTTCAAAAGTACAAAATGTTTCCATGCCGAGGAGTGAAAACGAAACCAGAATGAGTACGAAAATAAGAATTCGTTAAAGAGCATTTGATTGAACATCTTAATTGCGGCCGCCGAGGCCACATGCCTCGGCCATAGAGTTATTATAATAAACGCTAGAGGCTCAGCTGGCGCTAGTGTCTACGGGACTTCCGGTTGCAAATTGAAGCAGATAGCATGCAGTCTACTTTTCCAGTCTTCCTGTGTATTCCTATGGGAAAGCACGCGCGAATTTTGTCTCGTCGCCGGAAAATAACATCAATAACTTTTGTTATTTCGGTTGTACCGGATAGTATGTACCTTTATTAATACTGTGAAAGTGTAATTGCTTTAGTTACAGCATTGTTACTTTACCACTGAACGATGTTAAACTTCGCTATATTTCAGGCCCAAACCTCTGTTTCATGGCAGGTATGTAGAAACAAGCGACGATTCCAAGCAAAATAACAATCGAAAGGAATGTATAGTGTGTTCAAAGTTCGCCAGCATTCCGTTGGTGCTTATATATTGCTAATATGCTTGTCCTCACTATATGAAAATGCCCCCGTCGTGCATCTTTACGAGCGGTTAAAAAAACGTTCGAAACGTAAAGACTAAAGTACGTGGGCTACGAAAGGTGGATTTTTTTATTATTTCCTATGTTGGGCAGTTTTTATCGCGCACCTGTTCTCTGGCTTCCCCCTATTTGCAAAGATTTGGAGCGTGCGGGTGATCATTTGAACAGAGAACAAGCATCTTAGCATGTATTCACGAGCAGAAAGAATAAAGCAGTACTTATTTATTGCAAATCGGACTATATTGCCGCCCGCAGAGCCGAGAAGGCAACGCTTGGTCACGGTCTTCTAGAAGATTCCCGGTCATTCTCGCAGCAGACGTAACTTTCCCTCTGCTTTGTTATTCTCGAAAGTGCCAGTTCATCCTCGCCCCGAGCGCGCGACGCTCGAACCTTCCTCGCCGAACTTTCGAGATAGTGACGCACGGTAGATAAGCAGCTGCCCGCGACCTTGTCGAGTCAGTCCCAGTCTCGCTAGCGCTCTGTAGTGCCGCCGAACCGCCGCCCACTTTTCTGCTACCTCGACGCTCTTTCCTTATTTGTTTTTGGTTGGCACAAGTTCGCCCATTAAATCTTTATTTTCAGTTCACTGTTCGGCTTTTCGTCACCTTCATTCGTGACATTTTTTGGTGGAGGTGCGGGGTACTTTGCACGGGTTTCATGCGGTCTACTGCCGAAGAAGACCAGCCAGTCGACGAAGCCGACCATGGACCCCCAGTCGTCGCAGACCCCGACCGTCGCCCCCGTCGTCTACCTGCCCGTCGCCCCTCGTACACCGACGTCCTTCCACGCCGAGATCTACGAAGACGTCGAAGATTGGTTGCAGCAATACGAACGGGTGGCGCTGCACAACCAATGGACTCCGGAACAGCGTCTTCAAAATGTCTATTTTTTTCCCTCGAGGGAACGGCGCGACACTGGTTCGAGAATCGTGAAACCTCGATTACGTCATGGGACCAGCTGAAAGGAGAGCTCCGAGGGACGTTCGCCAGTCACCACCGAAGGGAGAGAGCCGAGGACCTCCTTCAAACGAGGACGCAAGGCCCCAACGAAAGCGTAACCAGCTTCGTTCAAAACGTCCTGCGACTGAGTGCGCGTGCCGACCCACAAGCCACCGATGACAAGAAGCTGCGTGTCCTCATGCGCGGGGTGAGGGACGACATCTTTGGGGGCCTCGTCCGCTACCCGCCGACCACCGTCGAAGCGTTTGTCACGGAAGCAACCAACATGGAGCACGCCCTCCAAGCACGCGCCTCCTACTACCAACGACATCCCGGCGTCGTTGCCTCCACGCTGCTTAAGGACTACATCGGCGCCCGCACCCGGGACATACGCGACGTTATCCGGGACGTCGTCCGAGAGGAGCTCCGAAAGCTGCTCCCCGCTACTGAGCGTCCGGCGTCGCTGTCACTCGCCGAGATCGTGCACGACGAGGTACAGCGGGCCTTGCAGCCTGAAACTCCCGTCAACGAGCAAGCCCCTGAGGAACCGAGGCTGACCTACGCCGCCATGGCCAGACGACCGCCGCAAGCTCCCCGGCAAGCTACGGTGCCACCGCGACGTCAACCTCCAGCGCCACTGTACTACCAACGTCGCGAAGAACGACATCACGTGCGCCCGGAAAAACCAGCACCCAGGAAAACTGACGTGTGGCGAACGGCCGACCGACGCCCGCTTTGTTACCATTGCGGGGAAGCCGATCATGTCTACCGTCGTTGCCCGTACCGGCAGCTGGGGTTACGAGGGTTTGCGCCCAACGACCCTCGACCACGCCTTGGAGAGCGACCTCGGGACATCGAAGACTACCTCCGCCGCTCTTCATCTCCTGAGTCGTCTCGCCGCCGAGGATTCCGTTCACCATCTCCCCGACGTTCGCCATCGCCCTTCCGCCGGTCCCGCCGAGAAAGCCTGTCCCCCTTGCCTCGCCGGGAAAACTGAGTGCGGCAATACCGGGAGGTGGTATTGCCGGTGACGAACGACGCCAACATCCTCCACAAACGTCGGAGGGCTCCCACACTAGCGACGAAACGGATAGGAGCGACGCTTCTGTGACGGTGTCGAATAACCTCGACGTTACCATCGACGGCCACGACGCGAAGGCACTCGTCGACACCGGAGCAGACTATTCCGTTTTAAGTGGAAAGCTCTCTCGCCGCCTTCGGAAAGTGATGACGCCGTGGGATGGCCCGAAAATACGAACCGCCGGCGGACATCTCATCACACCAGTGGGAAGGTGTACTGCGCGCGTGGACATCTACGGAGAGTCCTGCCCTGTCAAATTCGTCGTCCTCAAAGACTGTTCGAGAGACGTCATCCTTGGCATGGACTTCCTTTGTGAGAACGGTGCCGTGATCGACCTTGGAGCAAACAGGTTGACGCTGCGAAAGCCCGTGCTACCTCCGGAGGAATCCAAAACGTCGCCAGCCGCCGTCCGAGTCATTGCGGACCACGTGAACCTGCCGCCACGGTCGAGTGTTCTTGTGCCCGTCGTTACCGACGGAGTTGCC